AGCTCAGCCCTCGGCCCCTGCCGGGGGAGAAATAACCTTTGTTCTCGTTCCAGCAGCTATGAAAGAGGGACAGGTGCTCTCTCTCAGGGGATTTTTCACATACCGCCTACAAAGCAGTATGCCGAGGTACGGCCAAGGGTTTTGGAGCCCAGCAGTTTAAGCAGCAACGTCTGTAGGCGGAGGCCATCTTTATTGGTCCCACAGCAGACATTCTCTCTCCTGATAAGCACGGCTCATTACTATGAGTTACTGCCATAAGTATTTCAGCACAGGTAATATAGATAAACTGAGGTCTGTTACTAATCAAAAAGAAAACCTTAATTACTGGGAAGTAAAATGAAATACTCTGTTTCCCCCACAACTACAGCAAATATTTATGTTTCGGTCAACAACAAAAGCAGAACAACGCAAAATTTGAAGTGCCCGTTGCAGTGGGGAGAAGCAGTGGCCCTGCAAAACCACGATGGTAAGGAGCATCCGCGACTGCATGGCGGGGTAAGGTATGGTCATGCTTTCTGTGCTTTTCACGGCCAGGCTGCTCACCTGGACTTCAGAGGCTCACAGCAAGTCATGGGGGAAGCAACCTTGTGAATCCTGCTCGCTGGCCCTTCCTCCCAGGCAGCACCTGCCATATCTAAACCATTCCTGACAGATGGCTGTCTAACCTGTTTTAAAACCTCTAGTGATAGATGCTTTCACACTGTTCCCCCGGCAATCTCCTCCTGCACTTATATGGCTGGAGACAAGAAGCTAGATCTCCACATCCTGTAGCTTCAGCCCCTTCCTGTTTCTCCAGTTTTTAGAGGACCTTGGTAAAAGATTTAATCCCTGAGGAGCACATAAAAAAGATGCTGCAAAGCTGGAAACTTCCAAGCATCTCCTCAGTCTTCCCTAGATTAAAAAGCACTAATTCTTTTGATCTTTCCTCATGGGCCACTTCATACATACATTTTTCCTGTTCTGAATTCCCTCCTGCTGGTTTATGTTTTTCTTGAAATCTAGTGTCCACTACTAGGCCCCACATTGACATTGTCAGTGCTAAATTGATTGAGAAGGTTATGTGATGTGCCAGAATTTACCCGTTTCTACATGCCCCAGACGTTTGCCTTTTTTTTTTTTTTTTTTTTTTTTTTTTTTTTTTTTTTTTTTTTTTTTTTTTTTTTTTTTTTTTTTTTTTTTTTTTTTTTTTTTTTTTTTTTTTTTTTTTTTTTTTTTTTTTTTTTTTTTTTTTTTTTTTTTTTTTTTTTTTTTTTTTTTTTTTTTTTTTTTTTTTTTTTTTTTTTTTTTTTTTTTTTTTTTTTTGGGAAATGTCAGGAAATGTCACATTGTTGATGTACCTGCAGCTCACGATCTATTCCACCTCAGAGGCTTTTTCAAATCACTGCTGCCTAGCCATTCTTTTCCCATCTCAGATTTGTACTGAAGATTAATGTCCTTTCTGAATACATTCTAAACATTTCACCTCTGAGGCAGCAGGAGATCCTCGCCTCTAAGCATCAGCATCAACTCCTTGAGTAGTGCTGATGCAGTTGTTTGTAGGCCTACACTATCAGCTGTATCAGTGAAACAACTAAGACTAACAAAAAACAAAGAGTGGGGGAGGGAAGGACAAGGATGGTTTTTGTGTTCTTTTTTAATCCAGATCATTTTCTTGATCTGATTTACAGATCAACCCTGCAAAACCAGTTTCTTGTGTTTGAGGTCACTGAACATCTCATTAGTCAAGCTGGTCTCTTACTGCATTCCTGTCCTTCCTACACACTGGGATAATTTCCAGCTGTGCTCATAATACTGTTGAACTCCTCTGAGCTACTTTCCTCTTACGCTCAATTTTTCTTTTCTCCCACCAAATCTCAAAGTAAAGTCTGTTTTCTTCAAGGCCACTGTCTTCGGTCTTCCACTTTCCCTTCTCCTTTGCAAAAGCTTTGAAAAAACACTACAACAATAAGCAATAGATATTTTTCCCCCCAATTTGAAGTTAACAAAAATCATTATTTCTTCAGACTTTGCATTAACATTTAAAATTGTTCAGCGACAGGAAACTGTAAGGAGCCTGCAAATTGCAGAGGGATTCTGACATAGCTTGCAGGGCTGGCTGGGATCTTCAGCCTGCTTTCTTCATCCCTTTGCTCCAGAAGCTTGCCCCTCTTGCCTTCTCTCCCTCTTCCGTATTATCCTCTTTTCACATCTAATCCCCTGTCGCTCCCAGAAAACAAGGCAATTTATAAACCTATGACTCTGACTCAACCATTTGTAAAGAATCGGGACTGCACAAGCTTCCTCGAGCTGTATGTATTTGATAAGACGTGCATTGTGTTGTTAGGCAGTGGCTTGGCAAGCACAAGCTTGTATGCAGTGCTGAGAACCCCGTCTCCTCTCAGTGACTGAAACTTTACACCAAACTGGGCAGACTTACCCTGTTTATCAATCCACAACTCTCAAGATTTCATCTACTCTTTCAATGTCAGCTATATTTCTTTAAAACACACCTGCTGGAGCAAGATAATTTATGTAAATTGCAGCTTACACAAGCAAGAAATTGGCTTTCAGAGCTGCAGAGGGACACCTGAAAACCAACTCAGAGGGGCATCAAAACAGGAGGCAAACCTGGGGTTTTTTTGCTTACATAAAATATCATTATGGTAGCTCCAACTCATTTTTTCTGGAGAGGGACCTGTGGTTGGCAAGTGGAAGAGTTCTGTTTGCAGACATCTCCAGTTTCAGTCCAGCTCACTGGGTTAAAAAAGAATAAAAAGCAAAGTCTCTAAGCCAGTTTACATTCCTGCCTGTGAAACTAACAAGCAGACAGGTAGGTTTCAAAATAGTAAACATCAAGGCAATGTCAAGGCTCTGATTTTAAATGGAAGGCTTACAGCAATCTTGACTAAAGGCAAAGGTTAACCTGTCTCCCTAGTTAGTGTCGCCAACGCAGGATTGCAAAAATTATTCTGTGGGAAAGCAGTAGGATGATCTACAGTTTTTCCTTGTCCAATAGGAAGACAAGAAATGCCAGATCTGCTGCCAAGTGCAGTTTGGCAAAGGAGGTTCCCACCTGAGTGAGCTTTAGAAGCTCACAAAAAAAGATACTGCCGTTTCTTTTAAAATCTTGTTTTTCAGATCCGAAGGTGCTTATTTTTTTCCATGTGTATCTGCATACAGATACTTAAAGATTTCAGTACTTCATTTAAAGCCTTGTTTAGCCAGACTGCCTCAGTCTAAAATAACTTCAATTATTAGAGGTCCCTGCCAATTTCTTTGGGACAGAGAAGCACACAAGCGCATGCACGCATACGCACACAAGCCATATCTTTTCAAATTCCTTAAATAAAAAGGGGCATGCCTCCCTTTGCTAGCTTCTCCTGTTCCACCTGGAGCCTCTGGCAGGATCTGAGGAATCTGTGTAAGCATTTATAAAAGCACTTGTATGTTCCTTCATTTAGTACAGTAGGTGTTCTGATAAAATCCTTCCTATCAATATTTATATATTTCTTGGACACCAGTCTTGGTGGTAAAGTTTTTTTATACTCATTTATAACTTTAGGGTACTTTTTGTTTATTAGAGTGGAAATGCAGATGTTGTTCTATGACTATTTTTTAATTAAAATAATAATAAGGTAGCAGAAAGAATGCAGTATGATGTCAATTGGACAATGCTGTATGAAGGCAATTTTTTTAAACACAACATGGTAATTGTCTTGTACCCCAAAGGATGAAATAAGATCACTGGCTTGCATCATTGTAAAAGTTAGTACAGAACACACAAAAAATAGAGCATAAGAGTAGGCAGAGGTGTTGAGAAATAAGGTTGATTAACAATGCATGGATAATTCACTGCAGGGTATGAAGAATTATGTAAGTGAGTATATAAGGGATTAAAAAAAAAAAAGGCAGGCATCTGTGTACCTGCTACAGTTACTCAGTACTGTAAGAACATGAGAACAAATGTTTCTCGAACAAAGCCCACAGTTCTTAGTGCCATGGTGTATCTTATCCATAATTTATGCAGAATATTACTTCATAATCAAGAGGCAATAGGCTCCAAAAGGCCACCCCATACAGAATTTAAGAATTTGTGATAAACCAAACCATTTAGACTGGGACAAAAAAGAGGAGCTTGAAATTAAAAACTGCAGAGAACCCAACAGAGAGTTGCTTGCCACATCTGGCAGTTCAGTAATGTTTTATTTATTTTTATTTTATTTTAAAATTAAAATATCACCTAACCTTTTTGAAAAAAAAATTAAAATCATAGAACCATAGAATGATTTAGGTTGGAAAAGACCCTTAAGATCATCAAGCCCAACCATAAACCTAACACTGCCAAGTCCACCACAAAACCC